GGCCAGGGGGTCTGGTGGGTGGCGCCCGACGCTGACGCGGGGGGCCCCTGCGCACCAGCCCTCTGGGGAGGGGGTCCCCCGGCGGCCCCCCCGACGCTAGGCCGGACGAGTGCCGCTCGGTGGGTAGCCTCCGGCAGCCCCGCTTGGGGCGGGTGGCTGCTCGGTAGGCACTCTCGCCAGAGCGGGGTGGCAATGCACGGGGCGACATCGCACGGCGAATGGCAGCACTCCAGACGTGCCCAGGCCAGCCACCGGACACCCCAATGGCGCCCGGGGGCGGCCCGCCGCATGGCAAGCTTGGCCAGCGCCAAGCTTCACCTGGGCTGGCCGCCCCGGGGTGCTCACCGGCGAGCCCCGGGACTCCCCGAACCGTCCGAGCACTCCCGGCAAGCCCCCCCCCCCGAAGGACGCCCGCCCCGGCCCTGGTACGGGGCCACCCCCCAGCCCCCAGCCCCCGGGCCCGCGCCGGAGACTGGGCCAACCGGGGCCAACAAGCTCCGGTGCGCCCATGGGTGCCCCCCGGACGGGGTCGTCGGCGCGGGCGCCCCCCGGGATCAGGGGCCTCCTGTCATTGCCTCACTCTGGCGCGGGTCAGGGCCGGGCACCAGGGCACGGAAAAGGGCATGAACAAATATTCATACCTTTTTCAGCCTGCGGCGGCTTCCATATGGGGGGGAGAGAGAGGCGGGCCGGCGGGGGGCGAGGGCCAGGGAGGGAGGAGGGGAGGGCGGGGAGGAGGCGAGGGGGCCAGGACGACGAGGGGGCGAGGGCGGGGGGGCGAGGGGCCGGAGACGAGTCGGAAGGGGGCCAGTCTATCGCCACTTCTTATATTTCGCTACTCCGCTCTGGTTCTATCATGGGGCCCGCGCGGCAGCCTCCGCAGCTGCCTCCTCCGCAGCTGCCTCCAGCCGGCGCGCCTCGGCGGCCGTGGGGGGGCTGCTCGCCCAGCCCGCCGCCGCCGGCCCCGCGCGCCCCAGCGCTGCCACCGCCGGGGGGCACTGCTCCAGGTGGGCCCAGGTCTTGAGCGAGGCGCCGCAGAACCGGCACGCGGCCACCGCCCCGGTTGCATCGCGCAGGAGGGCGCCCTGCAAGGCGAGGCGAGCCCACGCTCGAACCTCTGGTAGCGTGGCTCCCTGCGCGCTTAGGTCTGCCGCCGTGGCCCCGGTGCCCGCTGGCCGCTGGAGGGCTTCCCGCTGCGCGGGCTCGGCCAGCCATGCCCTGTCTTGGCCACGAGCGGCAGCCCGCACCAGGCGCCTGAACCTGATCGCGGCGGCCGGCCCAGTCGCCGGTCCGGGCGGCTCGGGCACGCCCCAGCGCACCATTAACTGGCGGACGTGGTGTGTCCATGTGCCAGCCGCGTCTTGGGCGAGAGCCAAGACCGCCTTTGCCTCGGCGTATCTCGGCTCCACCTGGGCACGGCAGCACAGCCGGATCGCGCGCTCTTCTACGAGCGTCGAGAGCCGCATCGGCCACCCCACATGGCGGAGGAGCAGGGCCCGCGGGATGGGCCCGCAGACTCCGAGGGCCCCTCGGGCCCACCGCTCCTGGATGCGGTTGAGCGTTGGCCCACTCGCCTTCGCGTGGATGCACAGCTCGGCCCCGTACACTGTCTTGGGCTGGGTGCAGGCAGTGATGCCGAGGGAGACCTCCTGCAGCGAGAACCCTAGGCCGCTCATCGTCTGTATGTGCCGCCGCCCGACCTCGCCCGCCGCCCGCTCCATGGCAGTGAGGTGCGCACTGCCTGGCTGCCCTGACGATCGCTGGACGCCCAGGCTCCGGTACTCGCCCACGAAGGAGACACCGTGGGTGGGCCTGGTGTCCGCGAAGCCCCGGGCGAGGATCGCTGTCTTGGTGGGTCCGTAGCGGAGGTGCCCACGATGGCGGCGGGCGGCTTCCTGGAGGGCCTTGACGACGACCCCGCACTGCGCTCTCGAGCTCGCCTTGGCACGGACATCGTCCACAAATGCCCTGGGCCCGATCCTCATGGTGGAGAACGCGTCCAGGAGCCCCAGCCGGATGGCATCCGACGACGCTGCTGCCATGCACCCATCCCAGTCCACGTGGCTGTCGCTGAGGAGCTGCGCCCATTGCTGGATTTCGTGGACGTCCAAGCGTTCCGCGTCGGTCCCGTCCCTATGGGCGCGGTAGGCCGCCAGCGCCGCCTCGGGCGGGTCGAGTCCAAGGCCCACGCCCGGCACGCTCGCCACCTCCTCCAGCTTGTCTGCGTTGGCGAGGCTGTATTGCGCCGGGCTGAGGCCCCGGCCCTCCGGCATGCCCACTCTCGGCCGGAATGGCCTGGCGCGGCCTCCACGCCCAGCAACCACCACAGTGGTGTCTTTCAGCATGGACTCTGCGAGGAGCCATTGCCGGCCTGTGATGCCCGCCCTGTCGTGCATTGCCACCAACGCCTCTGTGCGATCCTGCGAGTCGAAGGCCTCCGCCTCGTCCGCGAATACGTCCGCGCAGGGGCGCCCCTGGGACGCACAGATGGCCGCTACCTCCTGGCCCAGGAGGCTGGAGACCAGGCTGTCCCCTCCCGCGTCCTGGAGGGCCCCCAGCCCGCCCTGGAGCAGCGCGCGGCCGCGGCCGCCCCACAGCTCTTCCGCGAAGCGCCCCTCCGCCGAGCACAGCGCGAGGACCCTGTAGCCGCCGTAGTCCACGCGCGGCTTGCCATCCTTGTGCGAGTGGTAATTATCCTGGACGAGCCACAGGCCAGGGAGGCGGCCAAGCCGGAGGCTGAGGGTGGCAAGGTGCAGCAGGGATTCGAGTACACCCACATGGGTACTGTGGAGGATGGCATAGGGGAGGCCCCTGCATTGGGCGCGCAGGCGGATCCTCCGCAAGGCCTGGCCTGCCTCTGCAAGGGTGTACGCCTCCTCCGGGTCCCACTGGGAGAGGGCGCGCCTGGCCTCCGAGCGCTGCCGCTCCAGGCGGGCCCGCATCGCCGCCGCGTGCTCCGCGTCCCATTCGCCGCCCCACGGCGGGTCGTCTCGCCTCAGGATGTACCGGCGCGCGCCATCCAGCACCTGCTCCGTGCCGACGAGCATGCGGCCCTCTTCCTCCGGATCCCGCATGATGGCCGGCAGGCCCTCTGGCGGCCCTGCCGAGTGCTCCTTGAGGACTGTTGCCGCCGCCAGCGGGTTCGTCTGGAGGAGGGCCAGCACCCGGTGGCGGGCGGCGTCCCGCTGGGCCCGGGCGCTCGCGCCTCGGACCTCCCGGAGGCGCTGCCTGGCGGCCTCAAGCGCAGCAAGGGATGTCGCCGTGGCTGCTCGCTGGCGCCGGGCGGCTGCCTGGGTCACCTCCCGGAATGCCGCGGCCTCAGCCGCGTCAGCGTCATGCCGGCGGTGCGCTGCGGGCGGTGGCGCCCAGGCGAGGTCCCCCGCGGCTGCGGCCAGGGTGGCCGTCGCCCGCCATGCCCACGCCGCCATGTCCAGCGCTGCTTTGGCTTCCTGCGAGGTGGCTCGGGCCCAAGACGGCTGGTGGCATCGGGCGGCCAATTCACCTGCCAAGGTGGCCATGGTTCCATCCGCCAAAGCGGTCATCTCGTGGTTCCACTTCTCCGGGTCTTTGTCGTAACGTAGGGCTCCCTCATCGGGCCCCGCTTCTGCCTCCACCGAGGCCGCAGCCCACGTGACCGGATGGTGGTCCAGATCGCGGGAACCCAAGGCCTCGCTCCGCGCCCGGCATAGGGCCTCCTTGCACCCATTGTCCCTGCAGTGCTTGCCGTTGTGGACCTGGACCATCGCGCAGCCACCAGCCGCTGGGGCAAGTACCACATCCAGTCTTCTTCCCCGGACGTGGGTGGCTACGCCCTCGGGGATCATGTGGCGGAGCCCCCGCTGCTCGACCGCCGCGCGGACCTGTGCATCAATGTCGTATCCGGGGTTGAGGTCCCCCGCCATGTACACCTGCGCGCCCGGGTGGCGGCGGCGCCCCGCAGCTCTCGCGCGGTCGTACTCAGAGAAGAGCGAGCGAACCGCGTCCGCCCGAGCGCGCTCGTTGGCTCCCCTCTCGCGCGGCGGGATGCTGAAGCCGCACCAGTACTCCCCAGCCCCCGTCTGCACCCAGCAGGTGCCCGGCCCGCTGGACCAATCTGGGAGGTGAGCCGCAGCATCTGGCTTCTCCCGGTGCACGAGGACGGTCACTGCTCCGAACCGGGCCGTGCGCGGACCGTGCAGCGTGTAGGGGAAGCTCGGGAGGGCGACCGCAAGGTTGGTGCCTTCCGGGCATCTGCACGAGACGCCAAAGAACCAGGCGGCGTTCAGGGCCGTCATGACCGCGCCGATGTCCTCCCAGCGCCGGGGGAGGATGGTCGCCCCCCCGATCTCGGCTCCGCCGCTGAGTCCAAAGTTCAGCATGCCCGCCGTGATGGCCGTGCCGGGGGGGCGCGGCATCGTGGCTGGCGACGGCGGAAGGCGGCGCTGCAACTCCGCGCACGACCTGCTGAGCCGCCGCGCCAAGGCCGCCGTGGCCGGGAGGTGCCGGCGGCCTGCCAGGCAACCCGCCTGCGGGTCCTCCCATCCGGGGGCTCGCCGCACGAGGTCAGCCAGACAATCTCGCCACGGCCCCGCCACCGCTGGCCGCCAGGTGGCCAGGGCTTGCTCCAGCTGGGCGGTCCGCTCGTTGAGCAGCTGCTCCTCCGCACTACGGAGGTCGGCGCCCACCCGGCGGGCATCCGCGGGGGTGCTTCCTGGGGGGCAGTTGGAGGTCAGCGCCGCGATGACCTCCCCCCCGAGCGAAAACCCGCCTGGCCGCCCCGCTGCTTCGCTCTCTCCGATAGCACTCCGTAACGCACCCTGATTGGGTTGGCTGCCGCCGTCACCCTGAAGTCGCTCGCCCTCCGTACCTCACCGCTGAACTGGTTGGCAAGCACCTGGGCCACTGCGTCCGCCGCACTGGGAGGCCCCGTTCCCAGGCGGACGCGCGCCGCCCCGTCAGCCCAGATCTGGACCAGGGTGCCCTGGTAGAGGGCGAGGGTCCAGGGGAGGTTGGTGCTTGGGGGGACGTTCTTCACGCCGAACTCCCTGTCGAGGACGTCCCACACCCCCGTCAGGCCCATGCCGTCGAAGATCTCCGCGGCCGCCAGCACTGTGATCGTATCCTGGTGGTGCTGTTCCCACTGGGCGCGTTGCTCGAGCTCGGTGCGCTGGGTGCGCTGCGCGGCCCGGACCGGGTCCATCTGCCGGCCTGTCAGGCGGCCCTGCTCCGAGTTCCCTGGCTGGTAGGCTTTGTGGGACCTACGCAGCATCTCAAGCAGGGTGGGCTGCTGCGTCCACGCCCCATCTAGGCGGACACGCCCGTCCGTTGTGCGGAACCAGTTGATCGTCAACCCGATGCCCCGTGCCTTGACACAGGGCGTCGTGGCCGTGCATTTTGGGGTGAGGTGCGCGTTGCCGGTCACCTCGCCCCGCTTGGCTGGGTCCATCACGTAGGTGTCGACGAAGACCCCCGCCTGCGCAAGCGCCTCGAACCACTGCCACAGCTGGTCCTCCCAGGTTGCGTCCGCGGAGTGCACCGCAAACTCCAGCTCCATGGCCTCCGGCCCGGCCGCCGGGCGCCACCCCGGGAGGAGCGTGTCCTGCAGGTACGCCAGCCGGGGTCGAGCTGGACGCTCCGCTCTGAGCCGGGCCCAGTGACTCTCATCAGACAAGCGGCCATTCTGTGCCGGCCGCGCCGCCACGTCCACGCGGGGCAGGGGCATGGGCAGCGGGGCGCGCTCCGCAGGCGGCCTGCCAGGATCGGGGCCAGGCGCGGTGCTGGCCGTCTCGGCCATCAGCGGGGGCCCGTCCGCGGCCGCCCCGGCGGCCTCCGCGAGGAGTGCCCCGATGCCGAGGGGGTCGTCCGGCGAGCTCCCCTGAGCCGCCTCCTCTGCGTCTGAATCCAGGGTAGGGGTCCCGCCGGTTGGGGCGGCTGCCGCGGCGCTCGGCGGGGCTGTTTCCGCCGCTTGGTCAGCGCGCCTCTGCTGCTGGGCTGCAACGAGGCGCCCCCGGTGCTTTGCGGCCCCCTCGGCGTCGCCCAACTCCTCAAGCGTTTCCACCAATTGGCTCAGCTTGAGCTCGAGGGCAGTGGGCCCAGCCTCTGCGAGCCGGCGCCCCTGGTGGTACCCCGGGCGCTGGGGGGGCACCGCTGCGGCCGCGCTGGCAACCCCGTGCGTATCTCCGCCAGCGGAGGAGCCAGCCCCCGGCTCCTGGCGCACACGCGCCTCCGAGGCCCGCCCCGCCGCCTGGCCCGGCAGGTCTTCAGGCCCGTCTGCGGGCGCGCGCAAGTGGGTCTGGATGCGCTCGGGGGTAATGTACTTGTGGCCGTGCGGCATCCTGACCCGTAGGCTCCCCGCCCGGCAGTGGAAGTTGCCGTCGAACTGGTCGTTCGCGTAGTGGGTGGTCACACGGCCCGCGACCCACTCGCGCCTGGTGTGGCTCCACACGTCCACCGCGTCCCCCACCTTGTGTCCGCCGGGCTGGCCCGTTTGGGAGCCCGCCGGCGGTGTTGGCGAGCATACGAGCCTGTCTTCGTCCGGTTCCGCTCCGCCCACTGCGTCTCCCGGGCTCGTCTTGGTCACTGTCTGGGTAGCGTCAGGCGAGTCCGCGTCCCGCTCTCGGCGCTGCCGCTTGCTGCTCCCGCCGCCGGCGGGTCCGGGGGTCGGGCTGCGCTTGCGGCGGCGGCCCCGGCGGCGGTCCCGGTCACGGTGCCCGCGCGTGTGCTCCTCAAGGGCATCCCGCACGACCTCACGCATGGAGGTGGAGGGCACCTTCTCCTGGAAGTACGCTGTCGCCACATACGCCGTCATGATCTTCTCGATGCGGCCCGGGTCCACGGTGCGGATCGCCTCGGAGCGGAGGAGGGCCACCGTGGTCTTGACGAGAGCCTGCTTCCAGTCCGAGCCGCCGCGGCCCGGTGCTGCAAGCGCCTTCATGTGCTGCTTGTGGCGGCCCACCAAGAGAGGCGTGGCAATCTCGATCGTCACGCCCAGCTGCTGGAGGAAGGCCGTATCCGGGGCCACTGGGGCTGCCATGGTGGCGACGCGGCGGGTCGTTTCTGCTGCAGTGCCTGGTGTGGGAACCTTGAGCCGAGGTGGCGAGCTGCGATCACCCCACCCTGGGCGCGGCCGCCCCCCCCCGGGTTCGCCGTCCTGGTCTGGCTGCGGACAGTGGGGGGAGGTGCGACGAAGGTGCCAGGGCCGGCCCCTGCCCCAACGCGCGCCAGCGACCCGGCCAAGACCGAGCCGACTGGCGGCATGAGGTGGGTACGCGGCGCGGCCCTCCCGCCCGTCCCACCGCCCGGGTCGCACCTGCTCCTGAGGCCGGTTCCAGGGAGCCGGCGGCCCCTGGCTGCCCTAGAGCCGACAAGACACCGATACCGGTACTCTTCGGACCACACCTGGGGCGCGCCCAGACCAGAATGCCGAAGCGAACCCAGCCGTGGCGACAAGGGCTCTCCAGGACGAGCAACGGTGTCGGTATCTAGCTGCTGGTGGCTGCCCGAGGCTGTCGCTGCACCGGGCCGCCTGCTGAGGCGGGCAGCGGGCGCCCGGGTGCCGGCCGCAGGTCAGTCCACTGGCCTCGCAGCGTCAGGGCACCGTGCCAGTGAACACGTGCTTGCTCGCCCTGATTCTGCGCGTCTTCCCAAGGTTCCGCGCCCTCTGGGCCTCGATGATGGAGACCGCTTTGCACACGCTCAGCTGCGTGAGCCGCAGGGACGCGAGGACGCAGACGGTGCGGTCTTCGAGGCGCACCCGCCGCCAAGCGCCTCCGGCCCTCATCTGGATTCTCGTGATCTTTGTCAACTCTTGCCGCGTCTGGTCCGCCAGGTGCTGGAGCACCGGCTTCGACGTCTCGGGCGACACCTGCGACGATCGCCCTTCTGAGACCAGTCCGGCGACGTTGCCGCCAGTGCCGATCTCCTGCATCAAGGCCATCGCGTCGATGAGCCGCTCCCGATGCTGCAGTGGGAGGGCGGGCAGCATGTCGACGTAATTTTTGCCGACGAAGCCTCCGGAGTGGGCGCCGTTGCCACGGATCTGCACCGCGGCGGCGGACAGGCGGTCCAGGACCGCTGCCCCGGCCGCCGCCTCAGGCGGGTCCGGCGCGAGGTGGAACGCCTGCAGGGCGTCCGCGAAGGTGGTCCTGTATGCCTCGAACCGCTGTCCGGTTAAGCCCGCCGCCACCCGCTCGTTCCTCTGCCCGAGGTCCGCCGGCATCGCGGCGAGCTCGGTTGTGGCGATGCAGTTGCGGCCCAAGTCGGGCACCGTGTACGTCTGAACGAAGCGGTGCACGATCTCCGCGTCCGTCGCTGCAGCCATGCCGTACTGCGCGACCCAGTCCGCAAAGTCGGGGCTGCGCAGGCGGGCAAAGAGAGCCCAAAGCAGTGCCGTGTTCACGCCTGGGCACAGCCACGCACCCAGATCCGGCGCCTCCGCAGGGACCAGGTCATGGAGCTGCTTGAGCTGCAGGAGCTCCATGTACCTGAGGCGGCGTGGCCTCTTCGAGAGCGTGACAACCGCCGGTACCGGCCTCCAGGCCGCAGTAAGGTGCCGGGGGTCGACCGCGAAGCTGCCTGCTGACGTCCAGTCCAGTGCACGCTGGACTCGGTCGTTCCCGTCCACCTTGACTTCGATCACGCCCTGGGAGGTGCCCTGGGCTGCAGCTAATCTGCCCACGATGTATGCTGCCTGCTGCACCGGGGTTACCGTGTGGTGCGCCTTCCGGCGCGCCGCGGTCGCCGCCTCGTTGCCGCGCTTCCGCTTCAGGGCTGCTCTCCGCTTCCTTCCCTGCGCTGCCTTTTTCCCGTAGGCGAGCCTGTTGGTGATCTGCCTCTCTGTGAGCCCGTCGATCCGCACCCTCTCTGCGATGTACTGCGCCCTGGTATACCCCTTCCAGATCGAGCCCTTTGCCTGCTTCCTGGCCCTCCATGCTCTGTCGGCCTGGAGGGTCGCCTGGTAGAGGCTCAGGGAGTCCTTGGCGAGGGTACTTATGCCCTTCCTCTTCTGCACCGCCTTCATGGCTGTCTTCGTAGCTGCCGTCGCTGGCCACGCCTTTGCTGAGGCCCTCCGAGGCAGGGTCATCCCCGGCAGGCGGCGGCACCCGGCGCCCAGGGCGGCGGTCCTCGGCGCCCGGGGCGGCGCCCTGGCCCGGGGCGGCGCCCGGGGAGGCGCCCTGGCCCGACCGAGGGGGGCCCGGCGAGGGCAGGCGGCGGGGGCAAGCTGCGGCGCCTGGCGTCTGGCGCCCGGCGCCCTGCGGCCGGGACTGTCCGCTGCCCGGCGCCCTGGCCCGGGCCGGGGCAGGCTGCGGCGTCCGGCGCCGGGGGCGGCAGCGCCCGGCGCCCGCCCTCGGGGCGGCGTCGGCGCCCGGCGCCCGGCGCAGCGCGCAGGGGCGGCCGCTCTATTGCTGGAG